CAGAGAGGCCAAGCTCAAACGGAATCCAACTCTATCCCGTATTGACTTGTGTGAACCAAGCCTGGCGAGGCATTTTACCTGCCTGGGTCTTTGATTTCACATCTGTAAAATGGGAATAATATGTCCTATCTTAGAGCCTGAAGGCCCCACCCCCAATCCCCTTAGGGCCCCGGGAGTGGGTAGGAGGGAACCTACCTGCACAGAACACACCCTTCACTCCACTTCTGAACAACAGAACACGAACTTGCTTGTCCTCCCGCAGCCTGGCCAGAGCTTCAAGCAGCTGCAGACAACACTGGGTTAGACCTCCTGGCCCATTGCCAGCCACACCCTAGAGTTCCCTTTCTCACCTCACTGACGAAGACATGCCCCAGGGCATTGCGGGCACGAGGTCTGTTCATCAGGATCTCAGAGATTCCTGCAGGAGACAGGCAGGCTTGAGGGGGCCAACTGGCCCAGCTCAGTCAGAGGCTGAGGTAGAGGCAGAAGGCTCAGGCTCAAGAGCACTTCTTCCCTTATGGAGCCATCTGAGCTGCAGCAAGTCACACTTAGGCCTCAATTTCTCCAGCTATTAAATGGAGAGAATCACCTTTGTGCTTTCTAGAGGAACAAAGGGGGCCAGCATGGCCCACAGAAGTCCACGCGCCTCCACATACACACATGCTCATCCACACACATGCACCTTTTCATAGCTCCCTCCATATTATTCTTTCCTCCACATCCACACATCTTCCTCTAGAGTTTAAAGAGTTACATCCGGGTAAGTACACTGTAACGACCAGCCAGGATGGAGAAAAAGACCTGTAGCAGACATCCCAGAAACCCCACCAAGGGCGCTGACCCAGTCATAGCAACCCCTGAGAAAAAGGAACTCTTCTTGTTGCAGTAATCACCTCCACTGGCTACTGTCTTTTCCCCGAAAATTATTAGTATTATTGAGACAGGGTCTAATGTAACCCAGGCTGGCCTCCAACTTGCTATGCAACCACGAGGATGACCTTGAACTTCTGGTCCTCCTATCTCTACCTCCCTAGCACTAAGATTATAGGTGATGTGCCACCACACCAGGTTTGTGTGGTACTGGGGATCAAATCCAGAGCTTCATATATGCTAGGTGAGCACTCTACCAACTGGGCTACATCCCGGAGCCCAGAAAATCATTATTGAGACAGAGCCTGGCTGGCTTGGAATTCACTATGTAGACCAGGCTAGTCTCATAGAAATCTGCCTGCCTCTGCCTTCCAAGTGCTGGATTGAAGACG